AGCGAGAGAAATCTCATGTTGCGATGTGCTTTTACTCGTAAGATAGTGACAGTGTTCTTTTGTGCTTCGTGAGAAATTCATAGCAGTGAGTCAACTTTATTTTTTTTCCTCAAGTAAAGTTGACGCGTGAGTTTGAAATCCGGCTATTGGACACATGTTGGTTGGCCGTTGGATGGTGGTAGGCCCCTATTGGGCATTTCACCCTTGAGATATCTCCCGCTGTAAATAGTCGCCGCCTCCCAAAAATTGTTGGTTGGCTGCTCTGTCTAGTTTGAGTGAGATTGTTAAGAAGTCCTTCTCCTCTGAGAGATTTCACCGAGAGAAAAACCCAGAGGCAAATCTTAGATTGTGGTTGAGCATCAAGTAGACCTAAGTTGAGATTGCTTGTGCCTATTACTCTTGAAAACTACAAACTCTTAGACGGTTAGGCGTCAGTCTGGAGCAACCAATGCCATTGTGGTTTGCCAAAGACAAAGTCCATGAAGGTTAGGATATTTCCTTGAAGTACCTACCACGAATGAATTGACTCAAGTTGATGAAGTTACAGTCAAGGAGAATAAGACGGAGATTCCTTCAACCAGATGTAGCTCTTTTTGCAGAAGAGTGATCTGGATGATCAAATAACTTGTCACCATCGAGCAACATTGGTTCTTTCTATTTACCACATTTCCTTCAGTATTTATATTTTGTCATGTTATTCTCCAGTGTGATTTTTCAGAGTTCTATTTGATAAGTTTTTTGAGCATTTCCATCAGTGTGACGAACATGTTATCCTTCATATTTCCCCCCGTAATGCTTAAGACAATATGTTTGTTTTTTGTTCGCATGTTTTTCATCTACCCTCATTTGGTTATTCTTCTAGCATCGGTTTTCATGACTATCTTGCATGGTGGTACTTAGCTTTTCATCTAATTTATTTCCCTTCTAGTTTATCTTCAAGCATAACTGCTTCTGTTTGAGTTGTTTCCTCTGTGTTGTGTTGAGAGACTTAAGTGTTCCGAAGAAAATTTAAATCTCTCATTCACCCCCTTAGTCAATATACTTTGATCCTACATGTCGTCCATCCCTTGGAAATTGGACGAGTGTTCTTATCAAATACTTCTTCAGATAGATCTTCCCAACATAGGACAAATTGGTTTATGAAAAACAACATGTGCAAACCATATGATTGTGGCACCTTCAGATCACCAGTATCAAATAGAGATCTATGAACCTCCTCGACCAAGTATGGTGATAATAAGGTGTCATACATATTGCGATCCCACACCATTCAACTTGGGGTGAAACAATTTGTTCAAAAGAGAACAGTTTACGAGTGGAGTTTCTAGTTGTTCCATACCTTCACACCAAACATTGAAATCATCAAGAAGGTGCTTAATTTGGTTTCTTTTCGTCTTGGAGTTGTTGCCTTTTGGGGAAAAAGAGCTATTCTGATCACCATGCGCAACCAAATGTTGTAACCAATATATCCTTCTCAACCCATCAAGATTTCAATGCGAATATGGAGTTATATCTCAGTCGTGATCTCTCTCAATCGTATTTGGCCTCGGGATCACCTTCTGAAGCGCCTTTTCAGTTTTTCCAATATGTTAGTTTGTACTTATGAGAATCTTATGGTCACATGTATGAAGTTCGGCATGAACATCACGAGTGCGATCAACCAAGGGTTTAGCCCAAACCAACTTCACCCAATTCCATGTCGCAATGAGGATCTCAGAGACTGTTTCCTTCTGCAACCAACATGCCTCGAACTGGAGCCCACCGGTGGATCTCGAGAACTAAATCTCGTCATTGTATTTTTTTTGTCCAACATAAGTGGGTGGCGACCAGAGTGTATATGATGCTCATTTGTTATTGTCATTAAAGGAGACTTAGTTATCCAAGTTGCATTGTCAACGGCTCAATCTAATCTCTCTCAGATTTCTCCCCTCCTCCAAGTGAAATTAGCTCCTAGTTCTTCTTTGTTTCACCCCAAAATGGCTCAACTAATCAAGAAGAGTCTAGGGAGATATCATCCACCTAAAAATCCTACAGAAAGTGAAACAATGGAAAACAAACTAAAATGGTAACACTTGGTGGTATAATCCAAAGAATATCAAGGTTAAAGTCAAGGAAAATCTGGGTGTTAAATACCATCATCAATACCATGTTCTTCGGCGATGGACTCCCAGTACCAGTGCCCCACAACCAAAAAAAGCCAAAAAATCCGGGAGCTTCTCACTTGCACCTGATAGTATTTCTTCTTCTGACTCTTGGTGATCAACACAAATCTATTCAACTTCTTATTGACATAAAGAATCATCCTTAAGTAGACAAATTCACGAACCAAATATGTTGAGAGTTGAACCCGAGCCTCCAGAACTTGCCAATGATTCGGTAGACACCATTAACTATGCCAGCCTCAAGAAGTTGTCTGGTACCTTTAAGACCCTAGCCCAAACGACACTCTTATCAAGCACCACTAACCTCATATTAGTAAATCCATCATACTCATTCACTGGCGTGTTCCAATCACCTAGACACCCAAACTTCACTATGAAGAGACCATCATCGATTTTTCGCCACTGCACCTTTGTTGCAAACTCCAAGATGATCTCATGCTGGACTATAGCCGGGCTAAATCCCTTTGGCAGTGTGCACCACGCAATAGCAAGCCACTTTGCCTTCGCCTCTTGATCTACAACCTCTTTCCATAGAAAGCCATTTTCTCCATTCCCGTGTTAATCGAGGGTTACTTGGTTCTCCTTGTTCCGCCATGCGACTTTCCGACGATATCAAACCCTTGCATCGGGCACGTGCCAGGGCGTAGACAAGTGACCGAGACCAGGTACAGGGTCTGCCCGAGTAGTATCTGTGCAGCCGGAGAGAAAGACGATAGTGTTAGGTGATGGGTATTGCTTTCCATGAACGATATACATCTTGGCCGAAAATAAACTCATCATGTGCGAGACAGAGGGTGTGTGTGTTAGAGCGGAAAAAGGAAAATTAAAAAAAGAGAGCAGAAGAACATTTTTTTAGGGAAGCAGAAGGACTTTTTTTTTTGAGGAATAAGCTTTTTTTTTTTTTTGAGGTGATTTTTTTTTGAGGAATAAGCAGAAGAACTTGTTGCAATGCTTGTATACAGGCGGGTCTGGCCCAAAACACCCTGATGGACCGGACCGGACCGGGGAAGGGAAGCTGGACCCAACCCACCCACCCAGATGGCCCAAACAAAACCACCGAAACTGACTGACCTACCGCGGCCTCCCTCACCCTTCGCCTCCCCTTCCTCCTCGCGCCGCCGCCCCAAACCCTCTCTAAAACCCTCGCCGCCGGCGCACCCACCCGTCTCTCCCCTCCAGACCAGACCGGAGAAGCCCCAGACGTCCGCCGCGGCCGGGGAAGGGATGGGGATCTTCGAGCCGTTCCGCGCGATCGGGTACATCACCACGGGCGGCGTGCCCTTCTCCCTGCAGCGCCTCGGCACCGAGACCTTCGTCACCGTCAGCGTCGGCAAGGCCTTCCACGTCTACAACGTAAGCAAGCCCCTCCGCCACCACCAACCCACCCTCTCATCTCCCCCTCCCCAGGGCCCGTCCCTGCCGCAAACCCGCAGTGGATTAGTGTCATAGCCTGGGAGCTCGCAGGAGCCCGCTGCTCGTTTCTCCGTCCGTATTTAGGGTTGATAATACTACCAGAGGCAGCGATGTGTTAGCTTCCGTTTGGACCTCATGCGCAGTTCAGTGCTGATTTCCTGCTGGTTGCTCGCCACGCCTACAGTCGAGCTTGTGTTCATATTATTAACCCTGCCTTACTGTACTTGTCTGTCTTCTCGTGTTTTTCAACGGCTTTACATATAACTCTGATGCAGCCGACTCCCATTTTGTGATATAACTAATCACGCTGTTTTCTCTTCTTGTTGTGCAGTGTGCCAAGCTCACTTTGGTCCTTGCCGGTGAGCCTGCTATTTAGTATGCTTGGTTTCTTATGTTCAGGGTTGTTGTTTTTCTCCCGCTCATGGTGCGTGAACTTTCTTTGCGAATTCAGGACCTCAACTGCCCAAGAAGATCCGCGCCCTCACATCCTTCAAGGAATACACCTTTGCTGCATATGGAAGTGATATCGCGGTTTTCAAACGGACCGATCTGGTAAGGGAATTGCTGTAGCTGAATTAGGGTTTCAACCCTAAGTGTGTGGTGCCCGGTGAATGAAATGATTATTGGCTACTTATTCCAAACTTCCAAAAATGAGTTCCTGACCAGAAAATGCCTTTGTCTCAGATGTGCTTGTACATCTTTTGTGAAATCAGATGTTGATTGTGGAATTATAGGTGCACTCGTAATGTTCTGCGAAACAACATATTTGACCATGTGGTTATACAAAAAAAGATGAATTGTGGGCACTTTCAGTTTCTATATTAGCTCCTCTTCCTTGTTTTTACAGCACACAAATAGGCATGTTTTTGCAAGTGGACTCATCATTCCAAGATCTACATATATAACTATTTTGTGCTTCTGCAAATTTGCAAATTCTTGTTTGAAAAAGAAACCCTGGGACCAAATGCACCCAGGAGCAAAGTATCTGCTCTTGACCCAGACCCCACTATATCATGTCCATCAACTATTATTGAATATCGAGGCTTTTTTTAATGTTTTCTCTTCAAAAATCAGGTGGTTACCTTTACTAAACATGAAGAAAAGGTGAACATGTTGTACCTGTTTGGAGAATACATTCTCAGTGCAGATACTAAAGGTGATATATTTATCTGGGCCTTCAGAGGAGCTAAACCAAGCAGTGAGCCTGTTGGAAACATATCACTGGGAGACAAGTTTACTCCAACCTGCATTATGCATCCAGATACTTACCTAAATAAGGTGCCTGAAATTATTGATTTCTTTTTGGAGATAGTTTGCTTTCTGAATTTTGTGTGTGTTGACAAGTCTGATTATCATTGATTCATCAGGTCATTATTGGTAGTGAAGAAGGACCATTGCAGCTGTGGAATATCAGCACAAAGAAAAAAGTATACGATTTTAAGGGTTGGGATTCATCAGTACGTTGTTGTGTTTCTTCACCTGCTCTGGATATGGTTGCAGTCGGTTGCTCAGATGGATCAATTCATGTTCACAATATACGATATGATGAAGAGTTGATGTCTTTCAACCATGAAATTCGGGGTGCCGTAACTGCCCTGTCATTTCGAACAGGTGATTTTGTCTGACATGACATACAGTATAACCTTTTATAATTCATGTTTGCTCATCCTGTGACAATGATGAAATTTCCAAACAAATCCTGGTTTATTCAAGTCCTCAACTTAGGTTTGTGATTATGATTATATCGTATTTATGATGGAAATTCGTTAATTCGGAGATCCAGTTCAGGAATGTAGCGCACACATTCTTTTTGGCTTTATGTATTTTTTTAATATTATTTTTTGGAGATTTGACTTGCCAATAAAACCTTTACTGACTGCCGTCCTAGTTCAAACTTAATAACGATGATATTTGGTGTACTTGAATAAATTCTAGAGCCTATGTAGTTTATTGTGGAATTAAGGATATGGAGCTGAATTTTATGACCAGTACTGCCATCAAGGTGTTTTTTATGGTTATAGATAGCTTTGACTCCCTGTTTGAAACAGGAGGTGCATTGTTTTATTTTAATAATACACATTTTCATGCTTCTACATGTCAAGCTTAAGTGTTATTTTCTCAAATTTGCTTTGTCCGCCAGATGGGCAGCCCCTTCTAGCATCTGGAGGTTCCTCGGGTGTTATTAGCATTTGGAATCTTGAGAAGAGAAGGCTGCACTCTGTGATTAGGGAGGCCCATGATGGTTCTATTGTATCACTTCATTTTTTTGCCAATGAACCTATTTTGATGAGCTCAGCAGCTGATAATTCAATTAAAGTAAGTGCCGTTTTCTTGTCTTCTATTTTCACATCATTGATATTGACGGAGAAGAACTGTGTATTTGATTAGCTATTGAGCTGTAACATATGAAAGGTCAAAAGTTGCTGCATGTTGTGTGACCTAGTGCTTAGCCTGTCATTGTTTTTAAGGCGTCCTGCCTTAGACGCTTAGGCGACGCTTAGGTGATAAGGCGCCCTGGCAGCGCCTTACAAATATGCCCGCCTTAAGCGATTAGGCGTCCGCCTTAGGCGCTTAGGCGTCGCCTAGGCGCTAAGGCGGGTGGTGCTCGCCTTAGGACGCCTTACCGCCTTAAAAACAATGTAGCCTGTTACATAGAACATCATCTCCCTTTTTTCTAGTTATACCACATTGCCTTATTTTGGGGGAGCATATAAGTATCATCCTACTGAATAGAGCTTTGCAGCTAGTTAATAAGTAACAAAATCAGCCAAGAAAAACAAAGTTAATACTGGTGTGAGATGATATTTGCTTTGACAATCAGATTAAGTTAGCCGCAACACCTTATTTCAGTTTACATTTTAAAGTTAGTAATCTAATATACTCTATTCCAGATGTGGATATTTGATAATAATGAAGGAGATGCTCGTCTGTTACGATTTCGAAGTGGGCATAGCGCTCCACCTCGGTGCATAAGGTAACAAATGCCCTCCAAGTTTGTTGTGTCTGTACTTTTGTATTGGTTGTGTTTTAGTGAGTCAGCCTATTTTGTTGTTAGATTCTATGGCAACGGAAAATTCATCTTATCCGCTGGTCAAGACCGTGCCTTCCGTCTTTTCTCAGTTGTTCAGGTAATTCATAACCTTTGTAACATTAATTTTTATAGCCACACTAGCACACCTGTTATCATTTCCTGCATTTTTTTGTCCTCTCAAAAATGCTATTGAAGTAATAGTGTTCATTTCACACCACACACTAGTCTTTACCCTGAATTCCTGCATGCTGTCTTCTTGTCAGCTTTTTTTCCTTTTTGAGCAAAATGAGTTTATGTTTACTGTTTTTTTTAATCCTATTGAAGTAACACTTTTTTGACAGGATCAACAAAGCAGAGAGCTTTCTCAGCGGCATGTGGCAAAAAGAGCAAAAAAGCTTAGAGTAAAGGTAATTTTTTTATTACTATTCCTTTATTGCCTTCTGTTTCATCATTTCCTTATTAGGATTTTGACATTTTCTTCTTCTCTGCAGGAGGAAGAGATAAAGCTAAAACCAGTTATTGCATTTGATTGTGGTAATTCTCAGGTCCTTGTAATACTAAAGTTCATATCATGTTCTTCTGCTTTTCTATCTGTGTAATTTCTTCTGGAAGTAGTAAACCATGATAATCTTCAATCTGTACTATTTATACTTGGTGCAAAGGGCAAAATTATTTCCATGTTAACACATAATAAACCACTGTACCAGTATTCTGTGCACCTTTACTAGTGTTGAAAAGAAACCACAAACTGTTATCTTCTTTAGATAAACCTGCTTATTTACCAATGGAATCAACTGTTGTTCAGCTGAGATACGTGCACGTGATTGGTGTAATGTTGTTACATGCCACATGGATACTTCAAAGGCATATGTATGGCGTCTTCAGAACTTTGTTATAGGCGAACATATTCTTACACCATCGTCAGAGACTGAGTCACCGATTAAGGTAATGCTTGTTTTTGTAATCTGAATGTATTGACCTTATACTATAAGGATGTATTGAATTCTCAATTCTTACCGTGGGCTAGATCAGAACAAGCTTGTACTATAAATGATAGAAGTATTTCCCTACTTCTTTAAGAAATTCCTTTTCTTTTCTGGCAGGCTTGTACTATAAGTGCATGTGGTAATTTTACTATCTTGGGCACCGAAGGTGGTTGGATCGAAAAATTTAACCTTCAATCTGGGATTAGTCGTGGTAGTTACATTGATGGCTCGCTGTCATTGCAATGTGCACATGAAGGGGAAGTTGTTGGATTAGCATGTGATGCTACAAATGGTTCTCTGATTAGTGCTGGATACCGTGGGGATATTAAGGTTTGATGATGCTGTTGCACTTCAGTTACAATTTATTTAAACCGCGATTCCATTACTCAGCTCTTGACTTGTCTCCTGCAGGTGTGGGATTTTAAAAGTTGCAAGCTAAAATCCAAATTCAATGTTGGTAAATCTGTAACTAAGATTGCATATCACCGAGCAAATGGTAATATTCAACATGTTCTGTTGTTCCCTTGTAGGATGCCATGGATGTTTAACAGTTTTTTTGTTGCTGTTTTATGGCAGGTCTTCTTGCTACGGTAGCAGATGATATGGTGCTTGTATTGTTTGATACAGTGTCAATGAAAATGGTTCGTAGATTTGAAGGACATACAGACCGCATCACTGATCTGTGTTTCAGTGAGGATGGGAAATGGCTCATCTCATCTAGTATGGATGGGACGCTCAGAATATGGGATATCAGTTTAGCAAGACAGATAGATGCGATGCGTGTTGATGTATCTATAACATCTGTCTCCATGTCTCCTAATATGGATGTGTTGGCAACCACCCATGTTGACCAAAATGGCGTGTATCTTTGGTAATGTTTCTTGTCCTCACCCTGTGCATTTGCATACCTTTGACAGCTCTACATGTTTCAGGAAAATATCATAAGACGAGTTTCCAAGCTGGTGCAGTTTGTGCTAATCACGGCACATCTCATTTAGGCAAATAAATACTAGTTTCAGTCCACTGTACCAATGAACATAATTAACTAAAATTCCATACCATCGCACGCAATTAACCAACCACCCGCACCGTCTAAAAGAAGTCGAGTTCATCACTGTACAAACACTTTTCTTTGTTTTTGAAATGTTCATTTCCACTCCGTTGATAAAACTATGCTAGAGCTTAAGAGTATGACAATATAAGTAGTTTTATAGTTTAATTTATAAGTTGCTGCTGACTGGTTGCCACATGGAACAGCTTCAGAAAAATGTAAACTTTTCTGACATGTTCATTGTGACCCTTGTGTCGGTCACATGCACGGAGGATAGTTTTCCCAGAACACCTCATAAGGTCAACTTAAGGATACACATTTACAGTTTTGCTTTCCATGAAGTTAAATGTCCCTAAAAGCAAAGAGTTGAATGCAAGCAGAGGCAACTCAAGACTGATAGTGTTTTTACCTCCTGTTATGTTTCTACTTCATAATCTTCTGCCATTATGGATAACAAACATATGTAGTCTATTGTTGTTCTGCAAAATATTATATAAAGCTCATACTTCTCTTAATAATTTTGACAGGGTTAATCAAGCTTTGTTCTCACCTTCGGCAAATGTTGATAGCTATGCAAGTGGTAAACATGTCCGGAACGTGCTTTTGCCAACTGTTTCATCAGCCGAAAGATCTGAGGAGGAAGAACCCATTAAAAAATCACAAGATTCAAATCAATCTAATATTAAACCTTTTGTCATAATGGATCATCAAATACCAAATATGATCACACTCTCATTACTCCCAAGGAGTCAATGGCAAAGCTTGACAAATCTTGACATTATAAAGGTAATGCATTTTGTCTCCGTTTTGATACTGAAAATTTTCGCTGCAAAGTAACGAATCCTCTGACCTTGCATTAACTATGCGAGCTCCTTGAGTTAGAATTAGGTGGGGTGTATATAGTAGAATGTGTAGATGAACTACTTTAACTGTGGGTGACAATATTTTGATGAACATTTTGGGCATGGTAGTAAGTTTCTATTAAAAAAAATGCTTGGTAATATTGTAAATTTATGAAGTTTGACAAATATAATACTACAGTAGGAAGTGCTGGATCAATGCTATCACTTAATGACTGTAAATGTCCTAATGGACACTTATTTGTGACTGAAGGAAGAACTTAAGTAATATTTTTGTTTTGTGCATAAGCCCGATTGGACTTGAAGTGCTCATTGTCACATTTCTGTGTCTTTAGGTTCGAAACAAACCGATCGAGCCACCTAAGAAACCTGAGCAGGCTCCATTTTTCTTGCCCACAGTTCCATCCCTTTCTGGGGAGATATTGTTTGAGCCTCCTTCCAGTAAAGAAACAGACGGCAACACTACTGAGGACATAGGTCATAAAAAGATGGCTGATCTCTCCTCCTACTTCAGTCGGCTGTTACAATCCTGTGGAGAACTTGAGAGCTGTAAGTATTTATTAGTATCTTCAGTCAAGCAAAACGCGTAAATAAACGTCAGATTTTTTGGTTCTCACTGTCTATTGATGAGACTATATGAAGAAGCTGCAACCTTCGTCATAGTAAGCACTGGCCTGGAATCTGTTTTGCAGATTCAGCGTTCACTGACTACCTAAAAGGCCTATCTCCGTCATCTCTAGACATGGAACTACGGATGCTACAGTTAATAGATGATGACGAGGTGGAAGAGTCGGAGGAACCAAGACCCGAGCTCCAGTCCATCTCGTTGCTGCTGGACTACTTCATTCACGAGCTTTCCTGCAGGAACAACTTCGAGTTTGTTCAAGCTGTTCTGAAATTGTTTCTGAAGGTATGTGACAACGTGTATGCCATGTTAAAAACCATCGAGTCGGTGCTTAAAGCGTATTTCATCTTCCTTGGAAGCAGATACATGGTGAAACAATACGGCGCCACTCGACGCTACAGGAGAAAGCGAGGAAACTCCTGGACGTCCAGAGCAAGGTCTGGCAGAAGATTGACAAAATGTTTCAGAGCTCGCGATGCATGGTCACATTCCTCAGCAACTCGCAGTTTTAGTTGCAGGTAATATCTTTTCATCCGATTTGCCAAATGAACTAGTGCTATACGAGGCTTATTTTGGAGCCAGAAAATACTTTTGTACCTCAATTCGCTAACATTGTCGTCACCTAGTTGAGCTTTTCCGATACACTACACTATATTGCTATAGAGAATGATTTTTTCCCTGCAGCTTCTTCTGAACTCTTGAATGACTAAATATCCTATTTCCTTGTGGTCCACAGGTCCCAATTTCTGAAATCGATGCATACTTGGGAGTCCATGTGGCTGTTGTACCATTCTGCTGCACCTCACCGTTTGTTTCGTCGTCGTGGTAAAAGCTGCAAGGCATATATATACGGTGTTGTTAACAGCAATGACCACATGTTGTGCTCCTGGTGATGATGTAACAGTTTTGTTCCTGTATTCTTTTGTAACATACAGTTGTATGAGCACTGTTAGGCGAGAAATATCCGGGAATGTCGCAATTGCCAGTTAGGCGAAACATCCCCTAAAAGTTTATTCAGCATTTTACTTTAGTGATAGTCCTCCGTGTTCATCTTCGGTGTTTTGACTCCTAAAATCCCTTCAGTCCACTTTTGCATGCGCTATCGGAAAAACTTATCACCCTTTTGTTTATAATAAAATTTATTTCGAGATTGAGAAGTCCTGAAAAACAAACAAATTTCAAGCAAAATGATATTTAAAGCGATGAATCACACACGTAAATCAGAGTCAATTGTCTGAGTTATCTTTTTACAATTCTTTCGATGAGAATATGGATAGTCATAAAAAATGCTGCAAGAATAGCCCAGTGTCCACACTTGAAGCTGTGTTATCTGGTAGTTTGATGAGTTATGTTTTTTGTTATCTGGCTGGAGGGTGTTCCAGGATCATCTTCATCTTCTAGTTGTTCTTTTTTCTGCTTTTACTTTTGAACCTTGGTTGTGAGCTGGAGGAACTGCTTGTGTACTGTACCTCACCATTCAGGCATCTTTCTAGCAATGGAGCCGGGGAGCCATCCCTGTTATTCTAAAAAAAAAAAAAGAATATCCAGAGTTGAAATGACAAGCTCCAGCAGATGAGAATGAGAAAGATTGCATTCTCTGAGCTCAATATTCATCATATCATGTGCATAGATGGATTTTCAGAACCACAAAATTAACAATGTAAGGAGTAGTAGAATTTATGAATGCAGCTCTTATCATATCATAGGCAGAAAACTAACATCAGTACAAGAGCCGGGTTGATTAGCTGCCTCGATCAGAAAGTAGACACAGGATACACATTTATGTATGTATATCAAAGGAATCTGGTCCAAAGGTTCTCAAATTAGGAAACTTTTAATTCTAGTCCCCACTTGGAAAAACAATGTTTGAATATACGAAGCACATAAACATCTGTATCAGAGAAAACTCTTTCTCAAATCTGTCTGTATAATTGTTTCAGTGAGAATATAGATAGCCATAAAAATATACTGCAAGAATATCCAGAGTTGGAATGACAAGCTCCAGCAGATCAGAATGACAAAGATACATTCTCTGAACAACATTCATCATATAATGCACAGAGATAGGTTTTCTGAATGCAAAATTCATTAATAAGGTAGATTTTCTGAATGCAGCTTTCATCATACCATAGGCACACAACAACCTCAGTAGAAAAAACCAGGGTTGATTTGCCGCCTCGATCAGAAAGTAGACCCAGGATACAAATGTATATGTATATATCTAAGGACAAGCAGAAGATGAAAAAATACATCAAAGAATCTGGTCCAAAAAAAAGTACAAGAATGCCCACCAACAACATGTCAGCCCATCACCCATGAAACAACCCTGTAGATGAAGAAAATGTATAGTAGTATGATGAGCTTTGCTCAGCAGCTCAGCTGGAACTGGTGTACCTGCTAACTAGTGTATTCTGGCAGTGGTAATACAGTCTCTGTATAACAAGCCCTACAAATATAGCTCACCTTGATGATCCATCCATCACTCACTCAGACTTGCTCCTCAGGCTGTACACGTTTCCGACGACCCCGACGACGCTGACGACGATGGCCAGCCCCAGCATTCCGACCGACAGGAGCCTCTCTCCGCGGCCCAGGCACTCCCCCTCCTTGTCCAGCCTCAATGCGACAAGGGCGGGGAACATGAAACCTAATGCCAGCCCCGTGGTCGCGCCGGTGAACTTGAAGGCCATCCAGATGTTGGGTATCATGGTGGAGCCGAGGTAGATGAGGGCCAGCAGCACCACCGTCAGGGAGAGCATCCTCTTCCTGCTGTGGGGCGCGAGCTCCCCGAACACCAGCGAGTCCACCGTCTGCCTCAGCGAGAAGTGGACCACCGGGAAGACGAGGACCAGGTGGACGATGTACCCGATCCTCACAATGTAGTTGAGCGCCGTGCTGAACTTGATCCCGAGGTCCTTGTCGAAGTTGGTGAGCACGTCGGACTCGGTGTCGTCGCCGAACAGGAGGTACCCCGAGATGGCGGTCAGCGCGTACACGACGACGCAGAGCACGGTGGAGATCCGGCCGACGTTGTACATGTTCTGAGGCGTCTTCTCCTTGAGCTCGTTGTAGATGGGCTGCACGTTGAAATGGCAGATGTAGGCGTTGGTCATGATGGGTATCACCACGAGAAGGTCGAGGATCGCCGCCTTCGAGCTGAAATCCGGCCCCATCCTCGGCGCGGCGAGCTTGCCCTCGACGAGCTTCACCGCGGCGATCATGCACGAGACGGCCACAAAAACAACGGCGAGCCCGACGGACGCGGCGGACGACAGGCTCAGCGAGTCGATCTTCTCCAGCGCGCACAGCGGCGCGAGGAACACCACGAGGACGAACAGGATGAGCAGCCTGCGGTTGTCCCACTCGCCGTGGCCGACGAGCTGGTCCATGACGCCCATGTGCTTGAGCGACCCGGACATGACGTCCCCGATGATGATGAGGTACACCACGAGGATGCCGGCGTTGTTGACGACGATGCAGAGCTGCGCGACGACGCTGGCGGGGCGGCCGAGCGCGCGGTGCACGAGCTCGCCGTAGGAGAGCGCGCGGCAGCGCACCGCGAACCGGACGAGCAGCTCGATGGTGACCTCGGAGAGGAGCCCCATGACGAGGATGGAGACGAGCCCCACGGCCACGCCGAGCACCTTCATGGTCGCCGGTAGCGCCATGATGCCCGCCCCGATGATGGAGGTCGCCAGGTTGAACACCGCGCCGTAGACCCCCGAGCCCTCCGGCGGGCCGGAGGGGCCGTCGTCGCCGATGAGCGGCAGTGAGTCGTGCTCGCCGGCGTTGGTGGCGGCGTCGTCGTCATCGACCTCGCCGAGGAACGAGTCCTGCTTGGTGAGCTTGGCGTGGCCGTTGGTGGAGGCGCCAGATTTGGGATGCGGCGGCGGCTGGCTTGACTGCAGCTCGATGGCGGTGGAGGTGAGCGGGAGCGCCGAGTAGTTGGAGTTCACCATGGTCCCCATCGCGACCGCCCGAGGCGGATCGACGGACTGGAAGGCGGCGGCAAAGAAATCCTTCCTCCGCCGACGCCGAGATTAGGGGGGAAACGGGGGAAAAAATGGAGATTTCCGCCCAATCCCCTCCTCCAAGAAGGCGGGATTCCGCACAAGGGGGCGAAGACCCCGACCCCCGCTGTCCGAGCCGGAGAGACCTCACGGGAACCCGGCCGGCATTGGCGAATGACGCCCGCCGCCGCCGCGGAAATCTCACGGAAATCTCGGTTCTTGGCGCGATTTGGTCGGGCGGGGCCGAGAAGGCCCGTATGCTCCGCCGGAGCAGGGGTCGACGAGGATCCCGGCGAGGCAGATGGATCGCTGGGGGTGGGTGGATTGATGGATGGATTGGAGGGAAGAGATCTGAGCCTCCCTCCCCTGTTCTTGCCTGGTTGCTTCCCTTTCTTCGGGGGAGGAAGAGGACGCGATGCCAGGCAGCGCTGCGGGTCAATTTTACGTTAATTCCTACTCGTAAAGCAGGGTGCACCAACCACGTGGGGCCCGTGCTCCTCCGGCCTCACTGGCAGGCGGGGTCCGCCACTGTAGCACGCGGGTAGACCGTAGAGGCATTTTTTTTGCGGGTATCATAGCAGATTTTTTTTTATGCTTTTTCTTCTGCGAAGACCATACGTCCATACCCCCTCCGTCCGGTCAAAAGTGTACGCACAGAAACTTTAAGACAAATTATGAAGTGAAGTAAAAAATGTATTGGAAAGGTGCAAGTCACCATCTCTCTCCTCTTTAAGTACCCAACCCTCAATGAGCTAAGTGCATGCAGAAACTAAGGAGACCATGCGTAGACTGCTGTTAGCCTTGATTACCGTGTGATGAGAGACAGGCATTTTTTTCCTACTTAAAGTGCATTGAGAAGATGAAAGTACACTCTTTTGTGGGCAAATTTTAAAGCCAAACGTACACTTTTCACCGGATGAAGGGGTTACTTTGGTGGAACCTTGAGTGTAACCGCTGCCTTGGAAGACAAAATTGGAAAAAAGGAGAGAAATGGTTGGAAAACGTTTGTTCTACATGATCAGCCATCCAAGTGAAGATACCACTCACTCAAGAATGAAATCTTTGCGTGGTATCTTCGTCGAGGAGTCGTTCTTACCAAAGACACGCAATGAAAGTGCCCAATGTATTTTTTGTCACCATGATGAGACCATAAGAACGTGCTCTTCCAATGCAAATTGGCTCCTTTGATATGGTCAATCGTCCAAGTAGCTTCTTGTATCCTTCACGTAGTGTTGCTAATATATTTGGCATTTGATATCATGAATTGGTCACATATTTAGAATCCTTCTCAGCATGAGAGAACTTGCCGTTATTTGATCGTTTTGACTATGTAAAAATGACAAGGTTTTAATAATAAAAGTTCTTTTTTTCCTTATGCGTGTTATCTATAAATGTGCCGTACACTGGACGATACGGCAAGGGATTTTTTTTCCAGATGTTGTTCTTCACGTACGGTAGTATACTGTCGCAGACAGCACTTCAGTTGTTTATTGGCTGTAGAAAAAACAATTAGATTCACTGAACGATTTCTGGTTGACCAAGCGCAGCTCGAAGCTTCCAACTTCTCTTTCGAAACAATTGAAAATACTTTTCCTCCGTCCGGAAATACTTGTCATCAAAACATATTAATGACAAGTATTTCCGGATGGAGGGAGTAATAAATAGTCTAACGATGATGTGCTTGCAGTTCTTTTCTTACAATTCAATGAACTACTCCCAACCGTGTGATAATATAAGAGTGTTTAGAACACTACAACTCAATGTACCACTCCAAGTTCTGTTAGCTTGTAAGAAAAAAGTCCTATATTATGGTATAGAGGGGTACTATATATTACGAGGTACTTCCTCCGTAAAGAAACATAGGAGTGTTTAGAACATTACTTATATTTTTTTTACACAGAGAGTATTAAGTATTTCGCCTTGTTTGGCTAGGTTGAGTGAAGGTTGCAACCCACCCTGGCCTTTCTTCATCACTGCTATGTAACATGGGTGCAGCTTTTCTAGGTTTACTCCACTACTATCTCTCCTTAATAATAAAGCACGGATTGGGTCTCCGGATTCATCATTACAATACGCTTCCGTCTGTTCGTAATACGCTTTTACGATTTATATTTTCTCTACCCGAGGTGGTACTAATTGATGTCTATATCCCTGCAGGCTTTCGGGAGGCAACGATCGATCGCTAGCAAGTCTCGCCACGCACGATTGACAACCAGATGGGCCGATCGCTAGCAAGCCTCGCCTCGATTGACAGCCAGATGGGCCTTTGCTACTAGATGCGTGGATTCGAACACGTGCGGTCTGGAGCTTAGGTGGGCCAGAATCTATATTTCTGTTACGGGACGCTACTAAAAAAGTTGCTCCATGTGCTAAACTTAGATACTACTTTTGTGATTAATAGTCCCACCCTGCTCTTCTAGATCATATCCTAGCAACTTAAATACGTTCTCGAATTGCAATCAAACAAGCCAAAGCAGAAAAAAGACACCTGCAGCATATGGAGCTGGAGCGACGGCGGCTTCGAGCGGGAGGAGAAACAGAGCCTATCTTGAGAGGAAAAAAGGAACGAGAAGTGACCATCGGTGCTAGGCGATGGCGGCCTCTCGAGCAGGCCAAACTTGGGGGATGAGCCCGCCATGGCCGGTGGAGCGGGAGGGAGTGGGAGGTGTGCCATGGCCGGGGTGGGATCCCGGTGGCACAGTCGTGTCCGACGGCTAGGCGACGACGGACTCGAGCGCGCTGGATTTGGCAGATGAGCCCGCCAAGGCCGGTGGAGCGAGGGATCCGTCGGTGTCCACAGCGCCGACAAAGGAGGAGATAAGGCTGCGAAGACGAAGTCCATACATCTTCAGTCCGGTTTCTTCTAGACCAGCTGAAGTTGCATGTCTGTTCTCTGAACTATTTTTGTTTTTTAAAGTTTGATTTTACTTTATTTATCTCCCTCACAAACTCATAATGACAAAACTAAAAAAAAATAACAAACATCACACGTAGATGAATAAGGATTAGACAATGTTATACTAGCATATATACACGGATTAGAACACGCACGGTGAAAACATATATACTTGCACGTCAAAATAAATTCTCTCTAAGTGTTATTGATCCTGGTTCATACAAGTGCATAATAAAAAACATCGATGCCAAAACACAAACAATCAAAAAAGGAAGACCCTCCTAAGGTTGTCAGTTACATGATAATCCAAAAAATTAAAAGAAAGGCAAACTCATTAATTGTGAAGTTTTTGTTGATATACATTTTGACCTTGGCATTCATCTCTATGTCGTCTTTGGGTGGCACCTGATGGATTCTGGCGTGTTACATTGATGAATGTTTATATAAACACACAAAATCTCTCTCCCGTTGCAACGCACGGGTTTATCGACTCTATTTTTTTTGGGAAAGTAAATGACAGACGTCATCTCCTTTTCAACCGGAATTCTTTATTGTGGAATAAGGGAACTAAATTTAAGTAAAATTTAACATAGTTCTAATGGTTTGAAACAAAATTAAAAGAAGACATGTTGCTGTCCTGTATTTTGACCATGTATAGGTTTATTCTAGAGCCGTAGCAACGCACGGGTCTTTTGCTAGTTATTATCTAAGCCCTGAACCACATGCTATGTTCTTGGACTTTGCATCCAAAGGTGAAGCTGCTAAAGAGAATGGTCAGAAGCAAGTAGTACCATCGGCGCTCACAAGATGATTCTTCACTTGAGAGGAATCTCTCTACCATGTGAATAAAAGTTGTTTACAAGCACAGCCTCACAAGATCGCTGCATAATCTTCTATAAACATTTGCCTGGAGTAGTAGAAGAACATTGTTAAGCTCCAGTAAAATAGATGGTTGGTATTTCGTCATGAACAAAATAACCTTTATTTTGCACCAACATTGCTATATATTAACAAAAGATATATTATGCCATGTAAGCATTAACATTGCTATATCCTAACAAAAGATATATTATGCCATGTATTACAGGGATTGGCATTGGGTATTACCCAAGTATAGTCAGGTCTATGCTCCCTGGACTTGCAAAACACCCATTTTCTGATCCCATCCCAGTTGAAAGCGACGGCGAAGCGGACTACAAATGAAGTTATTGCGACCCCTATATAGCCGACTCGTTATCTTGAATGACTGTCATCATCTCTGAACCCTCGTCAATATTTTAAGATCAAGATCTCACGTAGTAAGATCAGGATTTTCCCGTCGAATGGACCACCATGAACCATGGAAACTTCGAGGTGTACCCAAAGATGATTGTAGGAAGCACCAACTTTGTCAAGCTATGCAGACCTTCGAGCGAGGGCGCGGTCGAACAAGTCATTGTGGGAAAGATCAAGGACATCTTGAGTAAAGTAGAGAGCCGATGTTCGAAGGGATGGAGCCACTGAGATGGTTGTGGCTTAGATTGAGGCCCTGTTTGGAATCTCTCTGCTTCGCTCCACTCCGCGGAGCTGCAGAGCTTGGTTTGAGCAGCTTCATAAAAAACTGCAGTAGCCTGCTCCGCTCCGGGAGCTGAGTCACGGGAGCGGAGAGAAACCGAACATGCTCTGGGTACCGCCCTCAAGCTGGCCGGCAATATGGTGATTGCTCCACCGAGCGAATTATTCCCAAAATCAATTTCGATGAGAAACTGCGACGAGCTGATTGAAGTTGGAATGGCGCCCGTGATCTTGGTGAATTCAAAAAAAATTATATTCAGTGCAAACAAAATGTTTCAGATTCGAGTGGACATGCAATGCAGTTATGCAAACCCCTGCGGTTTTTTATTTTTTGAGAATCACCTGCGTTTTTATCTTATTTCCGTGTTTTCCTAATCTTGCAAGTCAAATAGGCCGTGGATGGTTGGATCTGGATCTAATCTATTTCTTGGTCAACCATGCATGATAATATGATGTGTAAACGCGTAGACAACTCTCTCCTACCTCCTCCACTGTTCGAGGCCCATTT